GTGGTCTGTGGGACTTGAATCGGCAACCCTCCGGTTCCCAAGAGAAGTCCCTACAGACTGAGCTACTGCCGCCCATTTATAAGTAATATTAACATACTTAAGTATCTACACCTTTAAATTGTCTCATATTTATAGTTCATGTATCATTTTATCAGCTCTTTTCCTGTTACTCACTCAAAATCCACATGTCATCTGATCAGTGCTGCAACATCCACCTGACTCTTCATGATAATAACACTTGTACACTCCGTCTGCAATCCTACACACACCCTAATTTAAAAGACATACTTTATTTACTCATTCGTGTGCACATTATGTTGCATGCACTCATTGGAAACCATTATAACTCGACTTGTAGACTTTTTGTTGTTGTGTTCTGTGCAAAATACAGTAAAATAAAAAATTTAAAGATTTGAAAAAAGGTTTTCCTTGCAAATAAGTATCTGTCTCTTTGGTGTCTGTCTCTTTTGTAGCACTAAAGTATAACTTCATAATGTTTATTTCAGCACTGTGGTCACTGCAGTCTTAGGCCTCTATTTGCATGAGTGTGGTTGTGTGTGTATGACGGAGACATTCATATTTTCCCAGGGACCTATTTTCAGTTGGTCTTACGTTCCCAGGGGTCCTATTTTACCCAGATGTATATGGCACATAAAGGGAACATGAAAAGGAGTCATGTGTTCCTCCTTTCTGGGGGTAAGGATAGAGAGTTAGGGAACTTAGGACCCTGGGAACACAGGACCGTGGGAACTTAGATAGCTCCTGTGTGTGACTGTGCATAATGTTAAAGTTAATACATTTTATCATGTGACCTGTTTTTAATATGGTTACAGATGACTGACTGCTGTGATTATGTTTTTGTCATTCTTCACCAAGGTTACAAAATAATGGCCATTATCTGACATTACCTCACAGCTTCAATATGAATACCCACAACTTCAATATGAATACCAACAACTTGTTTCTTGTGTTCATGTTTGGTTGTCTGGGGATGTTCAAAAATGAGAACATAAATACAGTTACAGCAATGGTGAGTGGTAAGTAATTAAGTACATTTACTCAAGTACAGTACTTAAGTAATTTGAGGTAGCTGAGTATTTCTATTTTATGTAACTTTACACTTCTACACCGTTACATTTCATTCAATATTGTACTTTTAACTCCACTACATTTATTTGACAGATAAACTTACTGGTTACTTTGCAGATTCAGATTTTACATTAGAAACATATGATTAGCAGATAAAATACACTACATTATTACATATTACACCTGTGGACCACCAACAGGGTGTTGTTCTGGAGAAAGTTGATTGGTGAGTGTCATTTCCAGGTCGTCAAATTTCATCGTAAATTTATAAATTGCAACTACACAAACGAAACGTGGCCCCGACATATGCTGACATGCCCTTATGGGAGTCTCATTGGATGAGGCGGTATTACAAAATATCTTCCCCAGAGAGAGATGTTTTGGATGACAGGCTCAACACTATGCCCCCCCTTCTTTGGAGAAGGTCTGACCCTTAGGTTGGAAACTAAGATAGTTAACTGTATATAAAGTAGTTGTACCTAAAGCTACAATAATAAAATGCTGCTTTCACACTGTTGCATCAGTATTAATCTAATAATGTCATACATTATAAATGTATCAGTCAGCAGGAACAAGCACACTTACCTTTGATACTTTAAATGCATTTTGCTTATAATACTGGTGCACTTTTGCTTGTGTAGGATTTTGAATGGACTCACTGGACTCATTACTATATGACACCTGACTCTGTCACTAGAAAGTCATGTGACCCTTCATCCGGGTTAAAGAATATGCTGCCATTCCAGTGTTTATCCACAAGATGGAAACAAAAGATCAGTGAAAATGCCACACAAGTTGAACTATCCTCTGCTTTGTCATGAGCAACCTAACATTATCATTATCATAATTGTTATTATGATTATTATCAGTAGTAGTAGTAATAGTAGTGTCAGTAGAGGTAGTAATAGTAGTATCATTTCATAGTAAAGTTATTATGAGCACTCTTGGTTGGAGAGTATTTTTATTTGTTTTATTCATTATTATTATTATTATTATTATTATTATTATTATTATTGTCTGTTTTCCAGAACCATATTATTCCACTGTAATCCACTTTTTTACTGTTTAATGTTGGGGGTTTTGTTTTGTTTAATTTGTTTTCTGTTTTTTTTTATTTAGCGATTTGTTGGTCAACTAACACAACTAAAAAGTGCATGCTATACACATCACCTTTTTCAAAAGTAAATCAAACACTTTGTCATTAAATTGCTGACCTTCCTGGTGGAGTTTGCAGGGTTACTTTTTGAATATGTGCTTCTATGTGTGTGTATGTGTGTGTACATGTTAGTAGGTCTGCCGGTAGAATCTGGCTTTGTAAACATTTGGCCAGAGCCTTGTGTACCGTGTTCTAATTGAAGTGGACTACTTCTTGCCAATTAGTGAAACACTCCTTTAGCTTTAAAGGGAAAACCCAAAGGGTACAGTGTCTAGAGGCCTCTTTGAAATATGCACTGGAAAAAAATAATAACTTGGCTATCCAACATCAAGCAAGGAAATAATTAGGGTTTTTTCCTTTTTTGTCCTGGTTTTGAACTCACACTACGCGTAGTTTTATCAGGTCAAGGTAACAAGAATATGATGAGGAGCAGTGGGAGGAAAACCTTTAACTGTTGGACAGCAGAGGGCAGCATGGTGGTAAGGTAAGATGTTGCTTTCAATTACTGTAATGGTGTTTACTACCACTGGTAAAACACATCTTAAATATAACAGAAGATTTTGTGAGAATTGTCATAAAATGTGCAAACTCTTCCTTTCTGTCGAAAATGGTCGACACACTGGATCAGATAGTTTTACATAATGTAGTTGCAACTTTATGTATTTCTCAATGTTTGCAGTTATACAAATATAGATTAATTGTAGCTTGCTTGTTGCATATTGAAGTTTTTTTAAATGCATGTTGAGTTTTTCCCCTTTCTTTGCCTCTGTTGTCATTTGAATCCTGCATTTTTCATTTTTCATCGTATCTCAGTGCAGACACACTAGTCTACAGTATCTCACCAAATACAAAGGCTGCTCTTCTTCTCTCTTCAAAAGTGGCGTGCTTCACATTCCACACAGTGTTTCCCCCTAAAATGTATTCATACTTAATAACCACACCAACCCTAATGTTGATGTAGAAACCCAGGATTAAATTCGCTCTGACATGTTAAATTTAGTTTTAATTCACATAGAAGTTTTGTTTTTGGAGACATATTTATTGTCAAAACAGCCACTGGATGGCACAGTTGCTGACAAATACAAGAGTCATTCATAAAATATTTTGTGCAGTCTCTCTGGAGTCAAAAGACAGAACATTTTAAGGCTGGATGACATTTACTGTACACAGTTGCATATTCAAGCACATATTTCAAAAGATATAAATATACAAAGTATTTTAACAAACTATTCAGTGCACTTTATATGTATCTGTATTGCAAACAACAAACAGAAACTAAATAAATATTACTATGGTAATATTCCAGCATATATGACAATAAAGAACAGAACAACTGTTAAACAAAACAATTCATATCTGCCATATACGGTTTTATAGTAATTGGTCACAAATTACATATTTGTTTTTCTGATTTATTTACACTTAATATATGATGAGATTGTCTGTTGTGGAATTATTTTATCAACTTTATTCAAATCCCTCTGATATAATGACTAATGTCAGATTAAAGTCCGCCGGGAGTCCAAACTGGTAACACTGTAATGTAATCATTATTGTAATTCATAACGTAGTGCTACAACAGGCTACTGCTTCTTTGAAATGCTGGTATACAGTACAGTTTGGACCAAATGCTGGAGTGCTGCTATACAGCTGAGACACAATCTCTGTTTATAGAACATAAATTGTAATGTCCTCTGACATTTTAGTCCCACACACTTGGCTGAAGGAAGCATGACTCATCACTGTCATCAAACCCAAACAGTCGTGGTGCTCTCTGGAGGTTTTTCCTAAAGCAGACAACAGCAGTATCGTGATGACAATCAAAGTAATTAGAAATAAAAGCCTTTTGTGTATTTGTGAACAATCCTGCTTTCTAGCTCACCTTCTGCTGTTGAATATACGTCACAGCATCATGAACAGTCACGAAAATATGTTGAGGGTTCATGTAGTTCATTAGACCACTTGATGTGAGGATTTTTAGGACGCTCTCTAAGGAGATGGAAATCATCTATGAGTATTTGTTTAATGCAAGTGAATTTTGACATATGTAATAAGTAAAAAAAAAAAAACTCTCCTTAAGGTAGTACAAACAGAGAATACAGCATGAAAACTATCAGGATAGGAATAATTCGGATGCACAGGCCTTACCATTGCAGTTTGCCAAATATACGTGGACTCCAACTTTCTGGCATTCAGTACACATCTGCAAAAAAAACAAAACCAGTCAATTAACACAATGTTTGAATAAATACAGTGAAGTTTGAAGCTTTGTCTCGCTTTAACAGACTGACCTGTGTGAAGAGTCTTGCTCCAGCAACATCGACAAATATCACACTGCTGCAATCAATCAACACTGCCTGAACATCATTCTCAGATGTTTCTAGAGAAAAGAAAAAAAAAGGAAATTGAATTTTCTTTGCAAAAAAATGTAATTGCCAATCACTGTTGTAGATGTCCTCATTCAAAACGAGAACATCTATTTATGGTTTTTGGAACTGTGTTAATCATCCAGACAGAAAAACCTAAATGTTTTCATTACTTACCAGATTTAAAGAACTCATTTTCTGAAGAAAATGATGTATTTGCAATGCCTCTTTCCTAAAGAACAATGTAGGGGAAAAAAACAATAAGATCCTGTAATTAAATTGGCTTTTACAGTGTAAACTGTATATTCTAACTCAGCTCATTCAGCAATTGCAGAAGTCATACCACGGTGTTGACAGTGGCCTCTCTCTCCCGTTTCTCCAGGGCTTTCCGTGCCTTCTCCCAGCTGCGGATCTTCTCTGGCGTCAGGCCCAACAGCCTGCTCATCTCCTCCCTGAAGAAGTTACGGTTGCCATAATAGATAGGCCCGTTGTAAGTCAAAATCTTCACTCCAGGCACTTCATAGCACTGAAAGGAAAACAGGATGGTCTCAACTTCTTTCTAGGACACACGGCATCGTCTCCAAAATTATGATTATCACTTGTTGAAATAAGAAATTAAGATTTTAATGTGCCTCAAATTTAAGATTTAAGACCCGGTTCAGTGTACTGAAAGATAATGTCTTATTTTTATTTGTTAAATTAAATGAAATAGCATTAAGCAGTAAGAGTGTCCTCTCACCTTGCTGTGGTTCTCCAGAGGTCTGTAAATTTCTGTGTTGCTGGCCCGACCAAGCACTGAACAACCAGCCCTGTTGAACCATGAATCATCAGTTTATACTGAACACATTATAACAAGTGATCTGCAAAGCATGACGGGTATAAAGTGATTCTTTGTTTCTCTGATGGATTTTAGTTCAGAGTTCCATAATAGATATAAAACTTTCAGTGTTTTTTTCAATTCTAATTTGTTTTTGGGGTATTATAATTAGGGGTGTCCCCCCTCCGATATTATCCGGCCGATATTCACATAAAAATATGTAATACGGCCGAATTATCGGTATCGGGTTTTTAAATAACCGATGTTTGTTCCTGTAGGCTTGCAGGCATTTCGCGAGTCCTGCCATGGAACGGCAGCAATGGGACTATTACCCGGCGCGCCGCTACGATGACGTATAACAGCTACGGTAGAACTGGCTCTGGTTGCTAACCCGTGCTAAACACAGCAAAACACTTTAAAAGCTGAATGATTTTAATATTAACAACCAAAATATAGTGCCAATGCAACCGTTTCCTTAACCAAACTAAACAATTGGCTTTAGAATTTACATTAACACCCTCCCCTTCCAGGTGCGCATAATACAATTAAACACAGTTAAGCCAAAGCTGGCCGCTTAGCTAGGCGATTAAGCCGCTACGGGCTCCCTTTCAGTGTAAATTAATACAATGAAAAGTTGAAGTTTGTTCCTTATTTTGAAACAGACGCCTGTTTCATTTGGGAAGCCATGTTGCATTTATGTATGCATCGCAGTGGGTTAGGGGCGTGGCCCCATGTCGCTGGCTTTTAAATGCCCCCTGCTCGGACACTCATACTTGTCTCTTTTGAGAACAATAACTAAGCGAAGGTCCGCCTTTTGACCCAACATTACCTGTATTTCGTTAGTTTATACTTGTTGGCTAAAAATGTGTGTCAAAATAAGTAAATTTCATTGGTTATTCCATTTTCGTGTGACCTATCCCACAACAATCGGTAATTTTTAATATTTAAATGAGCCCCATGTGTTGATTCTACAATCCCACGCTTCTCAGCCCAGAAGAAAGGAGACGAGCGACCGTATGTTGGACGAATATTCTGAAAAATGCTCCATTCCCTCGAGCATGTATTAGAGCAAAGACTTGCCAAAGCCTATACCATACATTACATAAGCACCCCACCCATACATCACATACAAATAAGGTGCTTGTAGTTTTAACGCCCTTTATCTATCCAGATAAAAACCATTAAGCAAACAGTTTCTGTATGATGTTTATTAGACCTATGTAGATCTGAATTGAAAGCCAGGTTGTCATGAGCTTGTATCCTTGTATAGTTTATTATTAGCTATGTGGTATGTGTTGCACCTTATGTAATCTGGTGGAAAAAACCCATTAAAATTTAAAACCGAATCATACCAAACAAATATCCTGCTTGCGTGTCCGCCGTGTATGAAAAAGTGTCCTCCCCCTTTTTGATGTGAAATGGAGAATGGCCACCTACCAGTGTGCATCCACAATAAACATTAGGCCATACGATGTTGTTAAATTCCCACCAATAGGAGATAAGTGTTATGTTGTTACAGTTTTTTGGTGTAAAAAGCCTGCATATAATCGGTATGCGCCGGGGTGATATCGGTATCGGACAATTGAGAGTTTGGACCAATATCGGAATATGCGGATATCGGCAGAGAAAGCCAATATCCGGCACCAAATATCGGACATCCCTAATTATAATCCCTATAAAACATACTTTTACATAGTTCTTGCTTACAACAGAGCATTTGGCAAGAGCACCATAGTATTCGTGCAATGGAAATGGAAAATGTACCTTTGTGTGCGGCAGATGACAGTCATCATAGAGAAAACCACCCCAATCGCTAGGCCAAGGTCCACATTAAGTACCACTACAGACAGCCAGGTTACCACCCAAACCATCTACACAAAGACACAAACATAATGATGTATTGTCATGTCAGGATATAACAATTAACAATTAACAATGGAACGATGAAAATTATGGTTCATTCCCTCCAAGCAATCTGTGTGAAAGTGGAAAGATGAAGGTTATTCATCTCATGCTACCTCTTCTCCAATATATTGCTATACCAATCAAAGTCCTTACAAAGTCAATCTTGCTGATTCTCCACAGCTCAGGTAGGTCCTGGAACTGCAAGAACATCTGCCTGAGGCTGGTAACGTTGATGCATGCCAGTACTGCCTGGGGAGAGAGATAAAGGATGAGATAAGTGCACTTTCCTTCTTTTTTTCTCTCTCTGTCATGCTTGTAGAGATACACACATATAAACACACCTTGGGTAGGAAGTAGAACAGTGGTCCAATCAGCAGCAGGACAACCAGAACAACCAGACTGGTAAACAAGCCAGAGAGCTGCAGGACACACGACACACAACCCTTACTGGAAATCCCAATGTGTCTCATAAGCTTTGCTCCCTACTTGGGGCCTATTCTGCATTGTTTTGGATATAAATGCACTCTTAGGTTTTAAGTAATTTCAACTGCATTAAAATCGATCATTTTTCACAACAATAATCTAAGGTACATTCTCATACATAACTGAACATTGAGTTATAGATGGAAAATCAGCACTTTGAATGTTTCTGTCGTTGAATATATAGGCCTGTTTTGCTGCTGTGTTTAAAGCATTAGTCAACAACTTTTGTGATTTGCCTTATATTAAGGGGCCTTTTAATCCATTTTAATTTTTTCACTTGGAGTACTGAAATTTACATTTGAACTGACAATTGTGCATAGTCTACTAGTGGCTTGTTAGTGTGACTCAAGAGAAGACATACAGAAGTTACTGTATAGCATGTACACTACCTGTGTGTGTCCTCCAGCACTCTCGAGTATATTGGTGGTGGCTAAAGTGGCTGAGCTGGGGAAGCAGGTGAAAAAAGAAGACAGTGTGTTGGAGATGCCATGAGCCAACAGCTCCTGCAATGTAAATGCAAACAGTTAACAGACTGGTGAGCTGAAGTATGAAAATCTAATACAAATTTGGCAAAAAGATGCATGGAGGAAGTAATAAAAGCAGATTGTCCATAGGGGATGTCAGAGGTACATTTACTGGTACTATTAAACACCAGTACAATTTTGAAGTGTTTGTTCTCCAAAATCTAAAAGAAAACGGCAAAAAAAAAAAAACCAAGGAAGCAGCTGCAACTGTACGGTAACCTTTACCTGGTTGGGATGTATGGAATATCCATGTTTATCAGCATAAATCATTGCCAGTGAGACTGACACGGCGTAACCAACAAATGTTATGGCTACTGTGTCTCCAGCAATGTCAGGGAAAGTGTGCAAGGCAGGCATCCGTGGCTTCGGGAATCTTGGGATAGAAGAATTAAAAGTCAAACTAGTCGAAACTACTTGAGTACTTTAAGGATTTTTTTTTTTAATCTAAAAGATTACCCAGCTGGGATGTGGCCAACTATCTCAATGCTGTAAGTAGAGTCCAGCGAGGAGGCATAGGCCACACCTGTAGCAATGATCACCTGTAGAATGAAGTATAAAACCATGACTTATTACCTGTTAATCATATAGTTCATTGCAAAAGTACACTCAACATTCATAAATCCAGGTGACTAACCGTGAGGATCTCCACTGGGATAGGTGTACGCAGGCGCTGCCGGTAACGCATGTTGATTTCCTTAACTGGCACCAGGACAGCCAAACACACCATGGAGATCAGCAGCTCGGCCATGTTGGTGTGAGGCAGGTTCTCCATCACTGATGCTAAAGTCTGAATGTACAAGTCGGTGGGCTGTGAGCAAACTCCCAAATGATAACATGTTGGATAAGACCATCAAGATGTCACTGTGATTCACTGCTTACCTTGAATAGGGAGAAGGTGCCAGTGTGGCGGGGAAGCCGCAGCCCCAGCATGCTTTGCAACTGTGAGATGGTAACATGTAAAGCAGCAGCACTGGTGAAAGCCTTAACAATTGGCTCTGACAGATAAGTAGAGAGGAATCCCAGCTGAAGACCAAACATACAAAGCTGGAGGCACAAGAGATTAACATAAAAATTACAGGCTGGTTTGGAGAATTAACTCAATAACAAAAAAGAAAGTCATCAGGTGTGTTATCATTTCATTTTGTAACTTTGTATTTAATTCATAGAGTTTGTGCATCTGTCTTACCATAATAATTCCTGAGAGGAGTGCTACAGCCGAGGCCACTCCGATCTTCTGGGCCTCAAACTCAGCCGCTTCAGACGAACTTGAGTTCATCTCCAGAGGAGTGGGAACCAGCTGCTCCACCACAGAGCCGGTCATCAGACTCACCACAGCAAAGGTACCTGAAGAATAGACCTATCGTCTCAGTCACAGTAGAAAACATAATAACTGACACTTGACACTGAGTTGAGTTGCAAGATGCATGTGATGCATGAGACAATGTAACTATTTATAGTATAGTAGTAGTCAGTATGGCAAACACATTACTAGTTATGTGGATATGAGTCTTACCTGTGGACACGTGGCGACCTGTACCAAAGAACATATAGAGGACCACAGGGAAAAAGGAGGTGTAAAGGCCAAATATTGGTGCCACGGATGTGAGTAAAGCAAAGGCCATGCCTGTTTGGAGAAAGACATTGAAAAAGACAGCTCATCAGTAAGCACTTTTCTTTTCCTACTGTCAGAATGTAAAATCTGTCCTTGTCTGTAAAATTCATGAAGCAATCAAGTTAACTGAGGACAAAAATATTATAGTCACAATGTAAAATCTAACAACTTAGCCTTATAGTTTTATCATTATCATATTATCAACAAGTGCATGTGTTGTTGTTGCTGTAATTATTCATATCTTTATCTAAAATAAAAATAAATAAATAAAGGTGATCAAATAATTTTGTTATTGGCAGCCTGTAATCAGCTGCAGGCTATTGGATCCGGTTCCTATGTTTACTCACCTTGTGGAATGTGAAGAATACCAACTGTCAGTCCTGCTACAGTATCTCCTAAAATCCATTTCTTTAGTCTGTATCTTGGCAGCCAGTTGAAAATGGGCACTCTCTCCCTCAACAGGTGAAGGCAGGCTCGCCTTGAACACCTGCACTTCCCGGCGAGCTTCTCCCGGAGCCGCAAACCTCCACTCGTGTCATCATCGGAGCCGTAGGCCTGTTTGAAGCGGTCCTCTGTGTAAATATTCCTGTACACGGCCACAGAAGCACTCATATTGTCCCTGTAGAGATGAGTGATGATGGCTCACTATGCAAGCACTGTTGTAGAGTCAGTAAATGTGTTGTCTGTGGCAATACATATATAGCAGAGTCTGCCCTGACCTCAAGAGCCATTGCACTTTCCTGTCAGACTCTTCTTAGCCAATGACATGGCTCAAAGCTCAACCTTTTTTGTTACAGTGTTGAACAACTTTTTTCACATCTTTGTCCTGCCTCAGTCAACATAAAGGTGTGCTGGCCCAGTCTTTTTTTTCTACAACATTCTTCTGGGTCCTACTGCTAAAAGGATTTTTTTCAATTCAAAGTAGAAAGTCAGGCCCTCAATCCGCCTTTCCTTCACCCACAACCCCTCCCTCCAAACACACACACACACACACTGTTTGCACTGCACAGTCCTATCCTCCCTTATGTCCTGCCTCCCGAGAGCCACGCGGGAGGTACAAGCTCAGAGGAGGCACAATTAAGTCATACAATGTACACCACTGTGAAATGCCTAAAGAGATCAAAGTCCTATTGTTGGAGCTGAGGTGTAACCTCAAACCATGTCTGTTAGCGAGGAGTTCATTTCCGAGAAGGATGGATGTCTGTAATGGTTGGGTGTTTAAGCTGTGTAGTGATAAGGAAAGGAGTCTGCTACCCATGAGACCCTGTGAAACTCAATCACACATGGCAGTCTGGTTCATGGATCAAACCACACCTTGACTGCTGAATCAGAGATTGTGTGTGATGAGTGAGATGTTGTTCTTTGTCAGACAGGAGTGAATACAAGGCAGCTTTGGATAAATACAAGATAAAACAGGATACACTACGTGTCTATTCGTCACAACATATTGTTTGCAAAATGTGGCTATTATGTAATCCAAATATAAATTGGATTTGAGTTTGAGTGAGTGTGAGGCAGAAGGAAATCACAGTCTCAAGAGAGGTTCAGTCTGACTCTGGAGAATAAACAAAGGAAATGGAGAATTTATCTGTGGTGTAAGCTCAGCATTGGGTGCTGCGAATGAACCTCTGCGATGAATGACGTCTCCCATCTCACAAGGCTACGTGAGGAAGTGCAGGCAATGCCACAGTTTTCTATTGTTGCACGGGACAACACCCAAGGATTTTTACTTGAATGGGCTCAGACCTTGGCCAGAAGGGCAGAAGGTTTAAAAATGTACTGTACCACATGTTGCAAAGATGGCGAAGCATCCAGCGTTGAATTTGTGAAGTCGTTTTATTTTGTTGCTGTATGAGGTGAAAATGTCATAAAGCCATATAATTACAATTCACTGTGATGCTTTTTAAACATTATGTTAAAGCTGTTTTGCCACAGAGGAATTATGCTTCTTTAATATGCATGTGGGTCACTTGGATACACTTACATGGCGGTATCTTTTATATTTAGCCAGACATATGCTATGAATATACTTGTATGTAAGTTTTACGGTTGTTTTTGTCACAGTTTTGAACCACCATGAGCTAAATCAACTAAACATCTTCCTTGACACGCAGGTTGAGATTTTGGGAGGTGTGTGTATCAGCCCTCTGCGAGCCTCTGCGGTTTACAGATACCCTTCTGTGCATAGGCTTGTTTGCGCGACTCTATATGCCCTTAAAGGGGAACTTGGCAACTCTAGCCATTTCTTCGCTGGTTTTCATTTTTGTCATCGCATGTTTTCTCA